ACTGGACCCCTCCGAGGCTTGAGAGATGCCTGCATGCGTAGTCTTGTGGCTCTGTGTACCCTGCAGCAATCCCCATAAAGTCCCAATTGCTTGGCTTCCTTTGGTTTGCAACTATTTTTTCTGCCCATCCCTAGAAGCAGCAGGGAGGAGGGACCTTCTAGATGGAAAAGAGAGTCCAGTCTTCTCTCTTCCAAATCCCGGGCTCCCCTTCAAAAGATGATAAAGGGCCTTTAAAGGCTTGGGAAGACAAACAGATGGGGTGACAGACTGACAAAACTGCTCCCATCCCCAAGATCTAGGAGGAGGACAAATAGCCAGAATGCTGGGGACGTGATAGCCATGCATGGCAACTACAACCCAGCAAAAGACAGGAGGGCAGCAACATCTGAGGCTGCAAAGAGCTCAGCAATCCCTGCTGATAGGGCACCATGGACAAGACTTCCCAGCTCATCAGATTAAGGAGCTGGGCAAGCGAAGCGGGCAATGCTACCACTGCTTCTGCCCTAGGATGGCTGATCCAATGACCCTGCATTCATTCCCCAGTCTGCAGCCATTTCTCCTGGCCTGGGATTAAAGTTAACCTGAAGCACTTGGGTCTTCTGTTTCCAGCAGTTGCTCTTCTCCTGGACCCTACCTAGGATGGGCAGTGTAGTAATAGTCAGCTCTCCAATAAGACATTCTAGTATGGGACATTCCCAAAAAACAAACAAATGGGCATTGGGGGAGATGTCTCCTGGTCCAATGTGGTCCTTTCTGAGTTAATTTTCATTGTGTCTTAGCAAACCAGGAAAGAAAAAGGGGATAGAAGTTGTACTTGAGATTTCAGAGGGAAATGTGCTATCTTCAAAGGTAGTGAGGAAAACCACAGGCTAATCAACCTGATACTGATGCTTGAAATACCAATGTGGAAAAGACTTTGGAGATCTTCTAGTCTAACCCCCTGCTTAAGGGAACCCTGAAACTACCATTTCAGACAAATGGCTGTTCAGTCTCTTTTTAAAAATATCCAGTTATGGAGGACCCACAAGTTCTGGAGGCAAGCTGTTCCATTGGTTAATTATTCTGTCAGGAAATTTCTTCTTAGTTCTAGGTTGCTACTCTCTTTGATTAGTTTCCATCACTTCTTGTCCTGCCTTCAGATGCTTTGGACAACCCTATTTTCTTTGTGACAGCTCCTTACATGTTGGAAGACGGCTATTATGGAAAGATACTAGAGCAGACCACAAAGAGATTCATAGCTACCTTAAAACCAGGCAGTATTTAAAACCACAGAATTCGGCAGAGATTGGTCAGGAACAACTTGGGTAATATTAATATTGTTTTGCTTTGTTTTTTGGCAATCTTAATTTCTTTAATACATTGCAAGAATGTTATAGTCATAAAATATCTTAATTTCAACTGACAACGTGCTCCATGACACTTTGAGTAGCAAACACCAGGTGGCATGCCGATTAAGTTCATTCATGACAGCTTGAAAATCATTTTTAAAAAGTACTCAATGTTAACCATCAAACAAGTGAGATAAGAATGGGCATCCAGTTTGGTCCTGTGTTTTCATCTATTTTGTGGATAAAGGGGAATGTTTAGAACACTTACCAAATTTGCAGCTGACACAAATTGGCATGGCATTAATTAATATTCCAGAAGACTGAAAGTTGAAAGCAATCTTGATCAGTTAGAAAAATGGCCTTCTAGTTTAATTGAGACAAATGCATGTTACTCACTAGGAAAAAGTAGTCAAATGCAAAGTTTGTGTCATGAGTGTGTGCATGAAAAGGTTCTGGAACTGAGATGGATTACAAGCTGAATATGAGTCACAGTATCACACGGCTGCTAAAAGGATGTGTCATTTTGGGCTTCAGCAACAGAAGCATAGTTTCCAAATGTTAAGGAGGGAATTGTTCCACTTTGTATTGAACAAATATTCTGAGTATTATCCATCCCCGGCATCCATCATGAAACTTCTGGAGTTAAGCCTCATAAACACACTTCAATGGCAAAATATATCAACAAATACAAGGCACGCCTGTAAGATCACCTATATCTGGCCTAAGAGCAGAAGCAGTAATGCAGAAACATGAATGCACAGTCCTGCCAACCATCTAGCCAAAATGTTGGGTAGGTTACCTGGACTATACTTTTGCCTTCATCAAATGCTCCACACTAGAAGATACACACCATCTATTCAACAACGTATTCACTGGGATCAGTTTGACATGTGAAGAAGGAAAAGAACCTTCCTAGATATTGACATAAGGAGACAAGATAATGGAAAATTAACAATACAAACACAGGGATGAAATTCTAAATTTCGCAAGCAACCACCCCACTGCACAATAGAGGAGTTGCACCCAGACCCTTTTCAAAAGAACAGAAACATATTACAGCACAGAGTCATTAAGAAAAAGCATGTTTATGTAACAAAAAGAAAAAAGAAAAAAGAAAAAGCAGAAGAGAAACACCTTTTCAATGTTTTTTTCCCCAATGGCTATCCAAAAAATTCATACTATGTCATCCAAACTCCGACAAAATACATAGCCAACCACAACACAAAAACAAGTCCTGCCATACATCAAAGGAACATCCAAAATGGTTGGCAGCATCACTGGGCCTGGTGGAGCAGCTCCATCCACAGTTTGGTCTGGGGTGGTCCAGGGAGCGAGCGAGAGTTTCCCAGGCTCTTTGATTCTCAACTGCTTTTTGCAATAGGTGCAAGGTATGGCTCAGGATAGCATCCTCCAGATCAAGATGAGGGACTTTGCCTCTTGTGCCCCTCACAACATTCCTGCCTGTGGGAACCTCTGCTTTCTGGAGTAAAAGTACCTTCAAGAGTTGATCCTCTGGTTCTTCCTTTCACCCTATGCCCAATGACCATGTGGGCTTGACAGGTTCCTCATTGGGATCCAGCTCCTCCAGTCCTTCTGCTTTGTCTTGGGTATGATGAGGTCTAGGAGGGGACCTGCCTGGTGCGCCAGTCTCCTCCAGTTCGCTCTCATGACTGGACATTTAGATGCTCAGTCCACACAGTAGACTGCAGTCTCCGCATTGACTATTAAAGCAGACCTTGCCTAATGTCATCAATTGTGATCAATTCCTAGGAAAGAAAATCCTCAACTCCAATATTTCAGAAAAAAAGGATTTTTCTTAAGAATGAACTGCATGCAGCAACAGTCGGGCAAGGTGTGAAGCAAATGCGCCTGAAAAGACAAATTGAAAATAACCCCACAGCGCACCCTGCTCGGAGCTCTGTTCTAACTGCCAGACTTTTGCAGGCACAAGACCTAGGATCTAGGACATTAGTTTCACCCATTAGCCCATGCCCCAATGGGAAGGACTAAAATTCTCATCCCGTGTCTCCTCCTGAGGCATCCATGTGGCCCTTGGGAAGGTGAGGGGGGACAAGAGCCAGGCCTGGCCCTCGCAGCAGACTTCATGTTTCTTATACTACAACAAGCTTCCAAAAAGGAAGGAGGATTGTAAAAGCTTCTGACTGAGTCCAAAGGTTTCATGCTGACTCAATGCCAATTAAGGGCAGATAATCAATCTCAGGCAGAAAAAGGCAACCCCCTCTGCAGATTGTGTGAATGAGTCAGCAGGCACAGGAAACAGAACCCCCATACAAGCCTACTGGCAGAGTTACATACCCGGGTAGATTCTGATAGCAAACCAGACTTTGCAGGGTTTTCCTCAGCCACTTCATACAAATAGGAAATCAAACGGGAGAGAAGAGACTATTCCCCTGTTGGGCCACTCAGCCTCTCTTGCTCCATGCTGGCTGGGACTGCTACAAAATGATGTCTGTGGTTCCAGCCCTCATGGCCACCTTATGCCACAGGTGAGGGTATTAAAAGCCCCCAAGTGGAGCAGAAGGACAGGTCAACCAAGCCAGGACACCAAGGAGGGCAGCTGGTGTAGTTTTGCCCCATGCCCAGGCCTGGACCTGTGCTGGAAGTAGTCTGCAGATTAGATTTCTTCTGGGGCTCCAGATAACTGTCCCCTCACCATCAGCTACATGGATACTGATTTGTTAGCTCCTTAAGCAGAAGATGCCCCTGGGCGGCCCTGAAGGTCCCTGGCATCCCAGCCTCTTGGCACAAAACAAAGGGAACAACTAGATGAGTACTTTCCCAAACTTTGCTACTCCTAAGTCTCATGCTACCAAGGATTTGTCCAGCTGGTGTCAAAGGTCCAGGAAATACTAGTGTCCATGTCTACAAAATGTTCCAATTCCAGGGATACTCTAGTGGGGGGGGGGGGAACCCAAGGACCACATTTATCCCAGGGCCCCTGGAGGAACTCGAAGGAGGAACAGAGGGGGGGCGGTCTTAAGAACCCTTCAAATCTCTCGAGTTCCTCCTAAGAGGAACAGGAACAAGAACTGCCCCTAAGCTGGGCAGCCCTCCGGCCACTGGAGGGGTCGGCCGAGGCTGAACTGGCCGAGCGGGCACTTCTCCCTACTCGAGAAAAGTGATCAGGCGGTCCTTATCATGACCGGCTCACACTCTTGACCCCTCCCCCGCGTATCCGGTCAGCTTAATTCCAAGAGCCGCAACGAAAGAACCGACGCCGAATCCCCTCCCCGCTCTTCACGCCAAGCCGCCCGTACTGCGGTCAACGACTGCCGCCTCGGAGCTTGCTCTCGGACCCCGAGAACCGTCCGTGAGACAGGCTCGAGGGAGGAAAGTTTCTCCCACCGGAGCAAAATCCGAGCCGTTCTCCCGCAGGCTAAACTCGGATAAACTCGGGCCCTGCTCTACGGACGGGGCTGCAAAGACTCTTGTTCCAAGCACGGCAACTTCTCCTCCTCGGTCTCCGACGGACGGGCGGGCGGGCGGGCAGATGCCGGCGGCCGCGGGCTCCAGGCCAGGGTCTTCGCCCCCTCCAACAAGGCCACCTCGGCGGCCGGGCGGGACGGAGGCGGCCGGTTGGGACGGCGATGGGCGGAGCCAGGCGAGGGTTTAAAGGGCCGGCCGGTGCCGCGCCCGATCCGACGGGGCGCCATGTGGTCTTTGCAGGCGCTGAAGCTGGGCTGCCTGCTCGCGCTGGCCACTCTGCCGCTGCTCTGCGGCCTCCTCCCGGCGCTGCTGTTCCGTCTGCGTGAGGCCGCGGTCAACGGTGCTTGGGGTCTCCTGGGGGACGGGCAGGTGGCGTGGGCCGTCGGGCCTCCCTCAGCGTCCTTCTCCCCGGCTTTCCACAGGCGCCTCACGGAGCGGGCGAAGCATCCTGAGCTGCGCGGCGGGAGGAGTCTTCATGGCTGCCTGCTTGCTGGACGTGGTGCCCGATTCGCTGGCCGATCTTCGGGACGAGCTCCGTCGGCAGAGTATCTCGGTACCTGAGGGGGGCAGCTCTCCCGGCCGAGGGCCAGCCAAGCCGCATAGCCTGCAGGCGCCTTACGTGCTAGGGACCCGCAACGGCCCCGTGGCCGAGGGCAGGAGGGGCTCGGGGCGGCTCAGCCTTCACTCGCGTGGGGGCTCCCTGGAGGTGGCCGCTGACCCCCGAGGACCGGCGGGGACCCCTCTGGTCGACCTTGGCCGGGCGGTGAGCCGCTCCCGTCGTGGAAAGCAACGCCCCCCCCCCACCCCCATGGCCTCACTGGGCGGCCGGGGTGGCGGCGCTGACGCTCCGCTTCTCCTTGTTGCAGCCGGCCTTCCCCGCGCCCGAGCTGGTCCTGGCGCTGGGCTTCCTGCTGGTGCTGGTGCTGGAGCACGTGATGCTGGACTGCAGCGACCGGCCGGGGGCCGAGTCCACGCCCCTCCTCGGCCGCCAAGAAGCCGCCGTCGTTGAGCAGCGGGCCGAGACGGTGCTGTCGCCCTTCCGTTCGCTGGTGCTGGTCGTCTCGCTGTCGCTGCATTCGGCCTTCGAGGGGTTGGCGCTGGGGTTGCAGGACACGCCGAGCCAGGTGCTCCGGCTGGCGGCGGCCATCGTCCTCCATAAGTGCATCATCGCGGCCAGCCTGGGCCTGTTGCTGCTCCAGAGCCGCCTGCCCCTGCCCTGGCTGGCGGCCGTGCTGGCCTGCTTCGCGCTCATGTCCCCCGTGGGCGTGGGCGTCGGGATGGCTGTGCCCCGCGGCGCCGGAGGCTCCCTGGCACGGAGCGTACTTGAGGGGGTGGCAGCCGGAACCTTCCTGTACATCACCTTCCTGGAGATCCTGCCCCAGGAGCTGCATCTTCCCTCGGGCCGCTTGCCCAAAGTCCTCGCTCTCCTCTTGGGCTTCTCTGGGATGGCCGGGCTGCGCTTCCTAGGCTGAGCTGCGCCTGCCCCCCTTGGATGTGGGCTCATTCCTAGGCCAAGGAGCCTCCAGAACCTTCAGTGGTTTTATTAAATAGGTTTGTATTTGTCTGGAACAGAGCCCCTGTGGTGCCAATTTGTTCTCTTCTTGCCTCAATTGATGATCTTAGCTGGGGGGAGGGGCTTGTTGTTGTAAATTGGGAAGTCTTTATAATTTGCTAAAGCCCATTTGTCCACATAGACCCTCCCCACTTCTTTCCAATCTGGTGGGTTGGGAAGATGTTTGGGTCAGGACCTGAGCAGCTGCTGGGGCTGCAGCACCCCTCCTGGAAGAAACCTGGGAAAGTCGCATCCTGATGGACTGGCAATCCTCAAAGAATTAATGGGACAGTATGTATACAGGAGAAGCTGCTCCAGATCATAACCTGTTTACAGTGGAATTAGCTGACCTGGCTGGGCCCAGAGAGAGTTTTCAGATATGTGCCTATCTGGGTGTTGTTTTTTTTACATCGGCTCTGTTATTCCAGAATGGGGCAGGGGGACTGTGCTGCAAATGTGAGAGACCCTGTGACATTGGGCTTTAGGAAGCAGTTGGGTTTTACTTTTGTACTGGCCTTTGTGTTGTGGAGCGGGACTCTGCCCTGAGTTGCTGGATTCCTTTGCATGGTTCTGGTGAGACATCAAGGCTCCTTGAGGCTGCAATCAATCATAAAAATAACGGAGCTGCTCTAAGTCATCAAGGGTTATGCACATGCACAAATCACACTTTAGAAGTGTGGGGTTTTTTTTGTCTTGGGGCAGGAGTAAGAGAAGAAAGATAGGACCATCAATATGGTCAGACAACTTGGCTGGGTGGTGCTGCCCTCTTGTGTCCCCCATGGTAGAAGTAGTAGGCAGGGACTACTAGACAGGGCTGCTTAGGTAACTAATGGACCCTGTTGGGTTTCAAGGGGAGCTCAGGTTTCTTCTCTGAGGAGTTGTTAAAAGACCCAGGTATCAATAGAAGAGAATTCATGTAGCTTAAGTTTGAATTGTGATGTCCTTGGTGCTGTCAGCATTGACTTCATTTAGTAATCAGGAAAGAAACCACCGGACTCCATTTGAATTGAAATCAAGTGTACTTTTACT